TAATTAGTACATATATGAAAACTAAAAAAATGTGCTGTGTACTGTTTATATGTGTTTGCATGCAATATAATGTGTATGTGCAGTCGAACTGTAATAATTCTATATAATAAAACTGGGGAAAAAAGAAAAAGAATAGGGAAAAGTAACATATGTATAAATTAATCATTATGCTGTACACCAAAAATAAACACAACAACAACAGAAAAAGAAATGGTGCTACCAATTGGCTGAACATTGTGAACTGACCATACTTCAATAAAAAAGAATGCAACAAAACAAAACAACCACGTTATTTGCACAAATTAAAATAATAAATAACAATGTAAGTGTATTGTTTAAAATCCAGCCACACACACACAAAGTCAAGAAAGCAAAGGTGTCTATTGTGGATGTCTCTCATCCACTTAATTTCTTCCCCTTTCTTTAGCAAGATTTGAGAATGTCAAAAATATATATTTAATTCTTGTCATTAACATTCTGATAAACGTTTAAAACTTTTAGATGGAGCGTTAACAGGAATTCCAGAGAGATGTTCCCTTGACAAGGTATTTGAGCAGCCCAGGCTGCTATCCTAGTCTAAGGACAGGGGCCTGGAACTAGCTACACTTTCCTCTGCCTCACCCCTTCTCTCTCTTCCTCTTATTCCCACTGATTCCTTCCCATCTCCTACGATTTAAAACTGCCGGCCCCAACCTTGCAGCAGCCCGGGAGGTGGGGTAGCAGGAGCTAGGGTGGCCGCAGCTGTAACCTTGCAGATCACCCCCTCCTCCGAGTCTTAATTTCACAAACACATAATTCCACGGTTGCTAGAACCACTCATTGCTTCTTGGCATCTAAAAGAATGCACTTTCGTGCTCCCCAGTTCTAATGAATTCTCTCAAATATTAAAGCAGTTTGCTGAGTTTGCCAATGAGACAGAGTCCAAGTGACTCTGTGCAGCTCCCACCCTCACGGTCCACATTTTCAGATTCAAGCCTGTGGTGCACATGAGGGACATTCACAGAAGCAATGCCATGGTGCCTGCTCCACTTAATTACCAATGGATCTGAAAAGGGGAGACACTTGGATAATTTCGAGTAGACATCTGAAAAGAGGTAAATTGCTAACATGTGCTATTTTGTCCACGGGGTCAGAGTTTTGAGGGAAATGCATCTTGCTTTCTGCCATTAATGTTATGCTTTCATTTGCATCGGGACAAGGATTGAGCCCGAGGTTCTGCTTTGCTAACAAGCGCGTGGTAAATGCAGGTGCTGCTGGCCAGAGAACAGGGCTCCTGAGCAGAAAGGTTTTCGTGGAGGAATGACAGGTCAGGCTGAAAGGAAAGATCACCTTTCAGAGCCCACAAACAACCGGGGAAAGTAAGAGACAGGAAGAGGGGAGAAGAGGTGTGTACATGTGATCACATATTTACGTATATGAATGTGTAAGATTTATATGAACATATAAACTCTGTTTAAAACTGGCATCATTCAATAGGCATTTGGCATAAACATTTAAAAAGGAGCTATGAAGCTATTTAGGAATGTCTTCTAGATAATTAATGTTTGATGTTTCATACCTTAAAACTGGTTAAAATATATATAAAATGCTTATGTAGTGACTGGCCTATTTTAAGCACAGTGGAAGCCTTAACTATTACATTTATTATTATCATTATTATAGTTCTATGCTGATTCTAGGATTCAAAGTTCCAGGAATTAGAATGGAAAGGAGTTTCTTGGAGAAATAAATCGTTCCTGATTGTAAAGGGCAGTTGAGGGGATGGTCACCAGGGAATGGGACAAGCCAAAGGCCACCCACGTCCTCGTTTAAATCTTCTGCCACGTGAGAGTCACAGAAGCTCGAGGAGAGGCCAGGAGGTAGGTTCTTCCCCCGAGTTCTCACGATGCGGATTAGCTGTGCCATGAGAGGCTGTAGGAGCTTCTAACCTCAGTCACATTTGAAGTCTGCCTCCTCTGACAACTGAGACTCCACATATGGAAAAAAAATGTAAAGTTTTCTTTTTAAAAATACAAAAAGTAAAACCAAAATTAGATTCAGCAGTAATCAGCAGTAATTGAATTTTAGTGAGAAAGGCACCAAATTCTAGCAATTTAAAGGCTTCCCTTTTTTCCAAATCAGATTAGTTAGTTCTTACGCTTATTTAAGAAAAGAGGTTACTTTTACAAAACAACATAATTAAGTAGGGTTTGATATTATCAATGAGATTTTTTTTATACCACATGGCTTTATTGTTCTCTCACCCCTTTTAAATGATAAAATCTTGTTTTTCAGTGGAGCTCATAAGCTTTAATTAAAGCTGGCATAACTGACTTTATAAACTTAAATGTTTATCAGTTCCTGGGGAGTTATTCAGCAGAACCGTTAGTAAGTGTACAAAGCACTACCATCCACCTAGTGGTAAAAATCTAAATTGCAAGCGTTGTGCTTGGAATCACTTTGAGAGGCTTCAAACTGCTTTTGAGGGGTTAGCCAGACAAACCCCAGCCTCTGTAACCAGAGGGGCCACGTGTGGTTAGCTATGCTCTGTCATTTCGGGGGAGAGGGTCCAGCAGACCCAAAGAAACGTGGGCGACTCACGCACTGCCTTTGAGGTTGGAGCTAATACACCTGCCGGCAAAGTTTGCTGCTTATTTCCTTCTTAAGAATTTACTAATACATGTTAGATCTCTTGGTATATGAGGGAAAAATGGATAATACTCTAATTACCATAAATGTACTCAAAATTGAGTAGTACTTTCCCAAGTTTGTGAATAGAATGGAAGAAATGAAATGTGTATTTAAAAGCTGTATTACTACTGATAGAACTTAAGTGACAGTGACAGAGATGCGAGTGAAACTTACGCGTAAGAGGCTCGCAGAATGTTTTACACATTTTAATTCTTGCTTCTTGCTCTTTATTGTGAGGCAGGGTAATATAAGTGGAAGAGCGCTGGTAAGGCATAAGCTTGGTTGGGGAGCTTCGGCAAGCTCTCTGAGCCTCAGTTTCTTCATCTTTAAAATGGGATAATAATATGGAATACACATTGTTGAGATTAAATGATACGTTTACAGCAGTTAGTACAGTGCCATCTTAGAGCCTGGTTTAGGGAGCAGTAGCAAAGCTCGTAAGTTTTTCCTTGGTTTTTGTGTATTTGCGAGGAGTTCAGCCCCTCCAGGAATGCAGAACCCCCCAGCACCACCTGGGCTCATGAGCTCAGCATTGAGTCAGAGGAAAGGAGGTCGCTTTCTGATTCATGATTCCACTTCCTGAGTTTCCTTAGTCATCCGAACTGGTCCAGACGAGGCTGCCCCTACTGAGAAAGGCTCATGCCCCGTTTTGAGTCAAATTGCATTATTTACTGATAGTCTTGGCTAGATGGAAATGGTGTTTGTGTACTGGTGCATGATGTGGCCAAGGTAACACATATGTTCTTCCAAAGCTGGCTTTTATTTCTTTGGAGAAAGTTATGAATAGCCACGGAGGGCTGGAAACTGTCTTGCAGCTCAGGGGAGCGGCGGAAGTTGGTGCTAGGTGGAGCAGAAGCTGACTAACTTGCAGGGTAGCCTCTGGGGAGGTGACCCAGAGCTCTGGGTTTGCCACCTGCACAGCAGAAGTCATGATCGCAGGGTTGCTGCCCTGCTGCTGGGGAGGGATGAATTCCAGAGTAGTTTCCAAGTGCTTTGATTAAACATGAGCATTTCAATCACAATGACTGCCACATTTATGGCTGTCAGCACTTCTCTGACTGTGGTGGTGAATAATTTGAATTATGCGAGTTTGTTTAAAGTAAAATGGAGAACACTTTTATTTCATTAAAAGACACAATTAAGAGAATGAAAAGGCAAGCTCCAGGCTGGGAGAAGAGATTTTTAATCCATGTATCCTACAAAATCTCATACCCAGTATAAGTAAAGAATTCCTACATTCAGCAATCAAAAGATGGACAACTCGTTTCTATTTTAATGGGAAAAATACTTGATACTTATGAAGGCACTTCATAAAAGAGTATATTCAGATGACCAATAAGCATATGAAAAAGTGCTTAGCATTATTAGTCATCTAGAAAATTAAAATTAAAATCACAACCCACACCCACCCACGCGGCCAAACTGACAATACAAGGGGTATCGTGGAGAGTATCTCAAATTCTCATACACCGCTGGTGGGAGGATGTATCGGTTTTCTAATGCTGCGTAAGAAATATTGCCACGAATTTAGCAGCGTAAAACATCACACAGTTACTGTCTCCCGGTTTCTGCAAGTCAGAAGTCCAGGCTTGACTTGACCGGGTCCTGGGATCTGGGTCTCACAAGGCTAATTATGCGAGTTTTAATTTATGATTTGGATGAAAAAAATGTATATCCACAGGAGTCAGAACTAAAAGCATCTTTGTTTAAAGAAAAGGGTGCACTGCACTGCCTCTCTCCTTATTGAAACGATCCCTGCTCAAGACAGAACATTTGATGTCTGCACAGCATAATGAAAACTGTTGCTCCCAATCAGGTCATACACACGAGTCCGCCCAGGACAGATGCAGTCCAATTAGCACTTCCTTTTACTCTCAAAAGTGTTCCTTTGGGATGATAGCTTATGTGGTCACTCTGTCCTGCTGCTCCCCGTGGGGCTGACAGGTAATGACCGTAGAGGTCAAAACCAGGCACCTGTAGGTTTATAGATTCTTTTTTTCCTAACAGTAGAGTCAAAGCAGAGTGATGAAGAGCTTGTGTGCTGGGGAGCCCGATAAACTGGCTCTGGAGTTCCTGGGTCACTCACCACGATTAAGCCGATGCCTTTTTTTAAAAAAAAAAAAAGAAAGAAATTATTTTCTTCTCGCTAAAAATGCATCAAATCATAAAAATGGTAAATAATTCTTAACAGTATAAAAGAGTCCAAGATACCTTCTACCGCACGTCTACCCTCCTCCCCAGAGGTGGTCATCTGCAGTTGGATGGGTTACTTCACCTTTTCGCACCTCAGTCTCTCATCTGTAAAATGGGCATTATGAGCACATCTCACGTCTACTCACCTCTACGGACCTGACGTGCCCAGCACAGGTCCCGATGTATGGGAAATGCTAACAGTGTTACTACGATGATGGTGACTGGCCATGCTCTTCTGTAGCCTGCTTATTTTCACTTAGCAAGTATATGGAATGGTTTCTTAACCTCATCGATAATAAACAAAAACCCCCCAGTAAATATGGAAATGTGAGTTTTCTGAGGGGCCTCTATTCAAATGTTGTTCTTAAGCAAATATTACCAGGCTCAAAAAGCATAGACACGGAACCATCATCCCTCTGCGAGAAACTGGTCCTTCCAGGTGGCGTTTGGGGCAGTCTGGGTGTGTGGGAGGCAGCGGGGTGGAACATTTACACTGCTGTTTGTGGTGTACCTGTTCAGTCATAAACAGAGAGCTTTAGTTTCCATCTGGCTTCTCTCACTGGCACTAAACGCACATTAAAAAGAAAGAGAGAAAGGGAGGAATGAAAAAAGAAAGACATCTAAATGGCTCCACGGAGAGGATCAAAAACAAAACTTGGGCCCAGGATCCCAGGTTCTACTGGGGTCAGGACGAGGCGGGAGATGGAGGTTTCCGAAGGAAACGAACCCCAGGAGATGTATTTTGACGTGTAGAAGATTTGTTCTTGTCAGTTTTCAGTGACGAGTGCTACTCACTCTGTAGTCAAAACATCCCGCTGAAACTGGGAATTGCTGACAAGAATGTCTTCCCTTTCCTGTTGCTTTATTTAGTTACAGGCAGTTACAGCTTGTTTTGTCCCAGTCAGGCGCTAGGGAGATGCCTCAGTTATCCTCAATAGGATGGAAACTTTGGTTAACAGCATTTACTCTTTCAGGCTCTTCCAGCCCCCTGTCTCTCCTCTCCCAGGCTCCACCCTGACTGTCTGTCACATTGGGTTTGAAAATCCCTTCCCAAGGGTGGGGATCCTGAGTTTGTGCTGTGATCATTAGAATGCCCCGCCCCTGCTTTCATCCATGCCTGTCTTCTTGAGCCCTTTTGAGTGGATTAAAATCCAATCTCCCTCTTACCCCCAGGTGGGGAGCATACAGAATAATAAACACTAGCATTTTTTCCAATTATAGAGCTATTCTG